GGGGGGGGGTGTCGATCCTCCCGGCGCTCCCATTGTCAGCCGCTCCCGGGAGCGCGGGCAGAGCCCGGTGTCCCCCCGCGCCTCCTCCATGTGCGCGGGGAGCGCGGGGCCGCCCCCGCCGCCCGGGACCCGCCCGCCGCGCGGGGAGCGGTGCCCGGCCCGGCCCGCCCCGGCCCGGCCCGGCCCCGGCCCCTGCCCCCGGCCCGCGCCGCCGCCGCCGCCCGCATCATGCCGCCCCCCCGCCCGCACGCCGCCCGGGGGCTGCCTCCTTTTCCGGCCCGCGGCGTGTGCGTGAGAGGGGCTTGAAGTTGCCCCGGCGGCGGCGGCGGTGGCGAGCGGGGGGCCGGGGCGGCAGCGACAGCGGCAGCGGAGCCCACCCCCATCACCTGTTACCTCCGCTCCCCAGGTTGCCTGAAGTTCCCCGGCGGCGCCCGGCAGGACGGGGAGCGCCACGGCTGCGGCTGGCGGGGACCCTACAGTGGCTGCTGCAGCATGGGCTGGCTCAGGGGGATTGCCTTGCTTTCCTTGGGAGTATTACTAGCGGGAAGAGTCAACTGCCAGCATGTGAAGAATAACGTGCCAAGGCTCAAATTATCCTATAAAGGTAAGTCTGTTGTTCTCTCTCTTATTCTCGGTTTTCCTCCAAGCCCTCCTTCTCCTTGCCCCGTCGCTCCCTCCCTCCCCACCTTCCTCGCTGCTTTTCCTTATCTTCCAAAGGGGAAATTGGCATTAGGAGAAATTTCTGAAAAAATTTACTCGAAAAGCCCCTCCGTGCTGCGGTCGGCACCAGGCAGTTTAAACCCAGACAAAGAAGAGTTAGTTGCGTTTGCAGACGAGGACTCCGGATCGTGCTGATCCCTGTTAGAGCATTTTTCAGTCTTGCTCTATTTCATTGGACTTTACTCTTTAAAACGATGAGTCGTGTTTGGCTACCCAGCTCATCTTCCCCGTGCTGGGCATGCCGTGCAGCCACAATCCCAGATTTGTTTTAAACAGCATGGAATAGATGATGATTTGTGTTTATTTTATTTTTTTAGGCACGAAGTGGTTAATTTTCAAGTCATGAATATTCAGTTTGTACAAATCTGACAATCAGATGCCTAACATAAGCAGTAGATGGTGGGTTTGCCAAGAAACTATAAACTGAAAAGAACAGATCAGTCCAGAAAAGGAGGAGAGGACTGCTAGGCACCAGAAAACGCTGCCTATGGATGTTTAATGCAGTGCGATTTATTTGAACCAGCGTTGTTTTCGGTGTAGTCTGATGTGTGTCATAAGAGATCACAGGGAAGGTGTAACTGAAGAAAGAGAGCTGTGAGATTGCGTTTACGTTTGAAATTGTGTAATGCCACTCACACTGCAGTTGTCAGTAATTAACTTTTGTATAGTAGTGCCAGTATTAAAGGAGAACAGTGAAGTAGACAGGCTCTTCTCTTTATCAGCATAGTTCTACTCTTAAGTACATTTTCAGAAGAATTCACCAAATCTGGAGAATGTGCAACTGGGAAAGAAGTTTAAAATGTAAGAGCTGTAGAGTATTTTTTCTAAAAAGGAGAGCTATACACCAAGGTGTATATACACATCTCTCTCAAGAGCTGCCTCCTCATAATTCTCAGATTATTGAAGGCTGAGAGAAGGAGCAGCAGCAGCAGCTACGGTTCTGAAGGGGGGGAGGAGAAGTAACACACTGCTTCTACAGCAGGGAAAAAGAGAACATGTGTGTGCATGCCTGGTCATAGATGTCAATCTCAGTTTACATAGTGTCACTACATCTCTTGCCAGTAGAAATACGTTTTCCATTTTTTTTTCATCTTTCTTGTGCTGCAAATGAGAGAGGGGAAAGTCCTCTCTGATACAGGGCAGGCGTCATTTTCACACTCCAGATGAAAAAAAAATTAAGCACCTGCAAAACTTGGATGTGCTGCGTGAAATAAATGCGTGTGCTGAGTTTTCTTAAAGAACATGTAAATGCATATTTGTGAGTATTTAAACTTGAAAATACATGTATGAAAAGAACACTTTAAGAGATTCAGAGTCTGTTAATTTGATTTTAATGAGAAAAAACATTTGTATTTAACACAAAATTGATTATTTTGAGTAATGGAATCTGAAGAAAGCTTCTACTGTAACTACATGTCATGTCAAAAAACTCATTAAAAACCTCTTAATTGCTTCCAAACTTTTACAATAATACTGAAACTCAGATTATTATATAGAAGCATAAATACTATAAAAATATACTGTAAAGGGGTTTAATAGCTAATTAATGATTGTGGGTTTTTTCACCCTTTTAAAGTTTATCCATGGCTCAAGTCTGCTACCCCTGCTCATATTGGCTAAATGCACAGAAACTGATTTCAAAAAGTGACCAGATGTGACTGAGAGTGGTTTTCTTCTTTTTCCTTTTTTCTTCTCCTTTTTTTTTTTTCCTATTTTCACCCCGTTGGCGCTGTATCCTTATGCAGTTTAACAGTATTTTGCTACTCTGCTGATTGGTTGTTTTCCATTCTGCTCTTGCTGGGACAATGGGTCTAATTTTCATTTTTTAAATATATGAGACGTCAAATTTTGATATATGGTCAGTCCTATATGAGCAAAACAGGAAACTGAAAGGAACATTGAATCTGTTTTATACGTGGTGGATCACTGTGTACCAGATATGAGTTCAAGTGCTGAGCAAGCCTATCTAGCAAAGATAGTAAATGCACAGTTAATCCAAAGGAAGTTAAAAGTCTGAAGACTTACAGAAATTCACACTCTGGCCTTTGATTCACATGTTTGACTTCAAACATGTAACTCTAAGAATCAGATCAGACTACTCACATACTTAATGTTAAGTACCAGTGTAAAGGCTCGGCCAGGTCAATAGGAGCTTGTTGCTTGTGCTGCTGCATTGATCACATAGTATGGGGATGTCATTGTTAGTCAGGGAAAACTAGGCTTTGTCAGCTGGTGCTTTTCCAGACAAATTTTGCTTCTAGCGAAGTATTCAATGCACAGATCAATGTTAACACCGTGCGTAGGAACATCTTAAAAGCTGTGGGTATTGAAAATACGTCTTTTAGGCACTGACAGAATGCCTCACATGATAATATGTATCTCTCTGGATATACCTCACAGCTGTGTGACTGTGTGATATCAAGTGATTCATCTCTATTTAAACTGCTTGCAAGTAGAAAAAGAAGCTACCCAGCTACTTACCTGTTCCTCATCTCCATGAAGAGATGTGGTTGAGTAAAATAAACTTATGATATTGGAAAAAAAAAACCTCCAACCATGCAGGTTGACAAGAATGACCCAAGTGACTTCACTTTTCTGTGACTGTCATTGTGGTTTCTTTTAAGATGTCTGCTTGTTTTTTACCTAAACAAATACCTTGGAGCTAATTGTCGGTGCTTTATTTCAAAAGAAAATCGAGGATGTATTTTAACTTCTTGTTTGTCTCGACTAATTAGATGTCAAACATGGTTAAAAAGCTCAGGCATTTGCTTTAAAAGTTAGTGAAATGAGTCATGAAGGGTTAAATCCCTGCCAGACTTGATTTCCTATGGTCACTTGTTTTCAAAGACCCAGTATTAGCTCTGCCATTTCCCAGGTTGCTGGACAGAAGTTTTGGTGAACTCCTGTTCTTGCTTCCTCTTAACTCCTTGTCACTCAATCTTGCAGAAGATTAGGAGCATCCTACGGGGCATGTTATGGATAGGAAGAGGAAGAGAAAGTGTATAAATGCATATGTTAGGACCACATCTGTGGTCTGAAAAGGTTCCTTTTGTTTATTGTAAAACAGAATTTTGGTTATTTGGTTTACATCACTGTGCTTTTGGTGGCATATTAAAGAAAATTTGAGGAGATCACTAGGGAAATCTTTGTCCAGCTGACATCTGTGGTGAAGCTCCTGTTCAGTAGCTTCAGGGTTTTGCTCTGTACTTTTTAAAGTTTCTGAGCATTTTCATCTTTGTGCATGAATGGGAAAGGTTTTACTCAGATTATATTTATCTCCTTATTTCAGTCAAAGGTAATTAATATGATTAAAAGCCTGATCCAAAGTTCATTGAAGTCAGTAAGTTCTGGATCATAGCCTAAATGAGGTAAAACTAACCATAAAACCGAAAACTCAGTTGAGCTCTTCAACCTCTGAGCTCTTCTTTTTGTGTCCTTCGAAGACTGTGTCCTTATTGTAAAGTAACAAGAAATGTCATTGTTGATATGTCAAAAGTAAAGGAATCTTCCTTTAAAGAATGTAGGGGGCTTGGGTTTTGCCTTTTTTTTTGTGTGTGTGTTTTTTTCTAATCTCATGGACTTCAATTCTGATGTCTGTTTTAAGTCTCTATATTGTGTCACTAGGTCACAGATTCTGTTCAGGAAACTTCTACTGAGCACAGAGTTCTCAGAAAGATGGTGATCAAGTTGAGTGTGCAAAGTTTAAAACAATAAATATAGCCTGAACTCCAGATGGATTTCTTGTATCGTTTATTGTTTCCTATTTTCTTTTGCTCTCCTCAGTATGGAAGGGGTAACAGCACAAACAGAGATGGAACCAGCGTTGGTAACCTTTAAATATAAACAATTAAGCCCAAAGAAAGAGAACGTTTCAGTTCCTTGATTTACGGATTTTTTCCCAAGGCAACCCTGATTTTTGTCTCCAAATGAAAGTTGTGAACCCAACTTTCTCAAATCCATCTGTCATGTCTTATTTGTCTATTGAAAATTACTAAATGCTGTAAGTATGTTTTGCAAGAGTACATGTGTGGTTCTCCTCTGTTATTGTTGCTCAATTGGATACATATTACTTGAGAAAAAGTAAGTGGAAAAGCATTGCGCGCAGATTTAGCTGTATTACTCCCTGGCTCCAATTCAAGCCATATTAAATATAAGTGTCTTGTTTAAAGTTGCAGTGATATTGACAACTACTCCATCCTTGATGTGCAGTTGATTTACAGTTTTATAGGACGGATTTTTTTATCCGGATGAAATCCTGGCCCTAGTGAAAGCAATTGCAAAACTTGTGTCCGTTTCAATCTGTCCAACGTGCAGTGATGAGGGAGGAATGGCACTGCACTGAATTACCTGTATGTAGACTGATGTAAATATGATACCTGGCTTGTAGTTTGTTGACCCAGTCTGGTTGTAGCTGATGACCTGCCGGTGGGTTTGATTGTGGTTTCTCCTTTCCATCAAACTCTATAACTCACAGTTCAATACCTCCTCAAATATTAGGAAAGCAGGGCAAAGTAGGAGAAGGAAATGGGGAGAGAAATATTGGCAAGGGAGACTGTTTCTCTTAAGTTGGGACCAGTACTGGAGTTTGTCTCATATTTCAAAGTATCTGCTTAAAAAACCTTTGCTTAAACGATGTTGTAAGAGTACTGTCTGATTGAAGAGCCTCTCTGATGTGCCTGAAAGGGAGAGAAGGACAGCGTCGACTTAGGAAGAAGACTGTGAAGAAAGGTAAAACAGGGAGATTTGCATCTTTGGCTTCTACTGTTTCTGACATTTCTACCCAGCTCCAGAACTCTCAGACTTCACTGTTCAGTCAATGCAGGAGGCTGGGGGACAGTGAATATATCAGATGCAGCCACAGCCTCTTCACCATTTTTTTCACCC